TACGGTGGAATGAGTGAGTGAGTATGGTTTGACGCCGCTTTTAGCAATATTCCAGCAATATCACGGCGGGGGACATCAGAAATAGGCTTCACACATTGTACCCATGTCGGGAATCGAACCCGGTTCTTCGGCGTGACGAGCGAACGCTTTAACCACTAGGCTACCCGACCGCCCCGATAAGACGGTGGAAAGGGGTGAGGATGTTGATGTCGGAAAGAGGATAAGACGGTGGAAAAGGGTGAGGATGTGTGTGTTTCGGAAAGAGGATAAGGCGGCGGAAAGGGATGAGGATGTGGGTTTCGGAAAGAGGAGTAGGCGGTGGAAAGGGGTGATGATGTGGATGTCGGAAAGAAGAAAAGGTGGTGGAAAGGGGTGAGGATGTGGATGTCGGAAAGAGGATAAAGTGGTGGAAAGGGGTGAGGATGTGGATGTCGGAAAGAAGAAAAGGTGGTGGAAAGGGGTGAGGATGTGGATGTCGGAAAGAGGAGTAGGTGGTGAAAAGGGGTGAAGTTGTGGGTATCGGAAGGGGGAATCGGCGACGGAAAGGGGTGAGGATTTCGGTATCGTAAAGTAGAAAAGGTGGTGGAAAGGGGTGAGGACGTGTGTGTTTCGTAAAGAGGATAAGGCGGTGAAAAGGGATGAGGATGTGTATGTTTCGGAAAGAGGATAAGACGGTGGAAAGTGGTGAGGATGTGTGTGTTTCGGAAAGAGGATAAGGCGGCGGAAAGGGATGAGGATGTGGGTTTCGGAAAGAGGAGTAGGCGGTGGAAAGGGTTGAGGATGAGGATGTCGGAAAGAAGAAAAGGTGGTGGAAAGGGGTGAGGATGTTGATGTAGGAAAGAGGATAAAGTGGTGGAAAGGGGTGAGGATGTGGATGTCGGAAAGAAGAAAAGGTGGTGGAAAGGGGTGAGGATGTGGATGTCGGAAAGAAGAAAAGGTGGTGGAAAGGGGTGAGGATGTGGATGTCGGAAAGAGGAGTAGGTGGTGGAAAGGGGTGAAGTTGTGGGTAGCGGAAAGGGGAATAGGCGACGGAAATGGGTGAGGATTTCGGTGTCGTAAAGAGAAGGTGGTGGAAAGGGATGAGGATGTGGGTGTCGGAAAGTAGAAAAGGTGGTTGAAATGGATGCGGATGTGGGTGTCGGAAAGTAGAAAAGGTGGTGGAAAGGGATGAGGATGTGTATGTTTCGGAAAGAGGATAAGACGGTGGAAATAGTTTTGTCGCTTTTACTGAATTCGAACCCACGACAGGCGGATCCTGACATGGCTAAAGGACGCTGCACAAGAGAACTGGGGAACCCGTGAAGAGAAGCTTTGCGGTATGTTGAGGGACTGAAAATGAGGCTGGCAGAAATCAAAACATTCATGGTGGCATAAGAACTTTCACTTTTACGTAACATAGTTCTATTCCCATGCGAAATAACTGTTAACACAGAATGTAACAAATTCAGACTTTCATACATGTAGAACCTTTTTTTCAAGCATACCAGCAGCCACAATCTTTAAAGATCTTTGTAGTCATTCAATTTGAAACTGTATTTAATCTTTACCTACTGAGATGATTCGAAAAAACACACAACGTAAATGTAATGAAACGGGAACAATAAATACTTGTTCTGTGTTGAGGCTCATGTTACACTAGCGGTCATTCCCCCAAAAAATTTGGATCAAGAAGGAAAAACATTAATTGAACAGATTGTAATATAAGCCCACCACTGAGCACAACGAGACGGAAAAGAAACGGGACGTGGACGTAGACGTAGATATATAACGTCCACGTCAGAGAAAAATCAATGTCGATAATATGCCGAAACAGATTCCACTTGGTGTGAAAGGCAATATAGAAAGGAAATGTATATGGGTGGATCACGGACGCGTTGATTTGTTTCCCCCTTCAATCATATAATGCATGAATGTATTGTCAACGACGTCATACCGAGGGAGCTGGCAGGACCGTTACCAAGTTCTGTTCTGTCCTGATAGCAATTGTTGCACAAAATCTGCCTTGACAGTAACCAGCGAAAAATCAATTTCACAATAAACACGCATGTCTTCGTACAGTATGTTAACTGTACAATACATAACGGCAACGCTAGAGAAGAATCAGTCAGGATTATCTGCCGAAACAGATTCCATTGGACGTTAAGGGCACCATAGTGGTGAAAATATAAATTAATGGAAAACACCGGATTACTTTTAATTTGATACATTACACTACACTGTCTCTCTAAGAGGAACACACATGTACATTACATCTCATTATGTGTGTGACTTTAAAGAATGAAGAATGTATAATATTCAAATTAGCTTACCTGAAGAGTTCGGAGGGGATTTATCTGCACTGTTCACAGCTGTAGCTCCTGAGTATACTGTTCTTTGGAGCAAATGCTTTCGTTAATGTACGTTTACAAGTCAAAATTACTAAACGTCCATTAAATTGACATTAGGCCCACGCTGTCTGAGATCGCCGTGGTCGCGGGAGTACTAATGTTTTCAGCCAGTCAACGAGAGAGATGAACAACTGGGTGTTGAATAACAAGAGCCCCAAGAGCTCTGTGATTGGTCCAGTCAGAACAGTGAGTTCTGCTACAAGCATTGCGATTGTACCTTTACACTGCACAAAGTTAATGGATGGTTGTATTCAAGCTTCTGTCGTGTGTCACAACCGCTATTAAGAACGTCAATACATATTGTGAGATAAAAGTTTAACGATTTAGGAGGGATTGGTATACGGGAAGGGAAGTGGCGAAATGCTAATAGCAGAGACCGGGATAAATTACGGATATGCAAAGCTGTCCATGCTGCTAATGAGAAGTGTTGAGTGGGAAGGCCTTTCAGTTCATCTGATAATGTCATAAACCTTGTGTGGTTTCCAGCCACAAACATTTTCACTCTTGGTCGATACGGAGTATGATGAGTAAACTATGTACATCAAAGCCAACCTTCTAATAGGGTGTGTGTGTGGGTGTGTGTGAGGTGTGAGAACATGTGCGGAGAGGGGAGTGAGTAGTTGTAGTTATCTGGTCAATGGTCAATACAAGACGGTCAAGATGGTGTGGTGATGACGGTAGCACGACATTAGTGAATACATTGAGTTTGAAATGCATAAAATACGATATATAATCGTATGCTTAATAATATATATATATATATATATATATATATATATATATATATATATATATATATATATATATATATATATATATACCCCTATCACGATCAATATATATATTATATACCCCTATCACGATCAATATATATATTATATATGACCGTCTTTCTGTCAACAGTGATGCAGTATTATGTGTAGTTGTATTATGTGTAGTGATGTAGTTTTATAAATGACCGCCTCTCTGTCACGTGCGCCAAATGGCCGTGTCCCTGTCGCAGATACCATTGATGCAGTTATATGACAGTGTTTCTGTCAGTTACACCTTTAATTGAGGGTTATATATGACCGTCTTTCTGTCAACATTGATGCAGTATTATGAGTGACCGTCTTTCTGTCAGCATTGATGTCGTGTTATATATGACGTCATGCTGTCAGCATTGACGTCCTGCTATATATGACGTAATGCAGTCAACATTGATGTCGTGTCATATGTGACGTCATGCTGTCAGCATTGACGTCCTGCTATATATGATGTCATGCAGTCAGCATTGATGTCGTGTTATATATGACGTCATGCTGTCAGCATTGATGTCGTGTTATATGTGACGTCATGCAGTCATTATTGATGTCGTGTCATATGTGACGTCATGCTGTCAGCATTGACGTCCTGCTATATATGATGTCATGCTGTCAGCATTGATGTCGTGTTATATATGACGTCATGCTGTCAGCATTGATGTCGTGTTATATGTGACGTCATGCAGTCATTGATGTCGTGTCATATGTGACGTCATGCTGTCAGCATTGACGTCCTGCTATATATGACGTCATGCTGTCAGCATTGATGTCGTGTTATATATGACGTCATGCTGTCAGCATTGATGTCGTGTTATATGTGACGTCATGCTGTCAGCATTGACGAACTGATATATATGACGTCATGCTGTCAGCATTGATGTCGTGTTTTATATGACGTCATGCTGTCAGCATTGATGTCGTGTTATATATGACGTCATGCTGTCAGCCTATTTCTGTCAAAGATGGTGTAGTGTCATATATGACCTCCTCTGTGTCAACTGCACCCTTCACCCTTCATATATATTTCCGTCATTCTGTCAACATTGATGTAGCATTACATATGGTCGTCTTTCTGGCAACATTGATTTTGCACCGTTGATGTAGTGCTACATACGACACTCTCTCTGTCCATTGAGCCTTGGTATAGCATTATATAAGGCCGTCTTTCCGTTAATTACACCCTTGATGTAGTGACACTCCCTCTGTCCATTGAGCCTTGGTATAGCATATATATAAGGCCTAAGTCATTCACAAATATAGAAAGTATTTAGTTCGCTCACATTTTATGGCGTATGTGTCATAAACATAGCATTGATTAATAATGAAAAGAAATACTGGTATTAGTTGTATTCTTTTCAAGATTGTTTTTGACAGGTCTGTATAAGTTTGATTTCAGACGCCTAATTCACTTCTACCTGTAATGAATTGTGACATTATTAATTATTCAACATTGCCTGTTTCCGCTAGATTGCATAAATACTTTATTCATAGCTATAGGTAGCACCGGTGGGCCAATGTCATACCGAACCTAATGAGTACATTGTGGACTACTTTTAAGGTATATACAACAGCAGCTTTAAATGTAAGTGATACCAACGTACTCTTAGTGTTATAACTATGTGATTGTGATGTAGATACATTCTTCATACACATTCCCATACAGTGTATGCTATCAACAGGTACTTACTGTGATGATGCAGTGATGTTAGTGGCGACAGGGGATGTTGGGGACTGCAGGGGGTGTTGGTGATGGCAGTGGATGTTGGTGATGGCAGGGGGTGTTGGGGATTGTAGGGGGTGTTGGTGATAGTTAGGGTTGTTGGTGATGGCAGGGGATGATGGTGATGGTAATGGGTGTTGGTGATAGCTGGGGACGTTGGTGATGGTAGGGGCTAGTGGTGGCGACAGGGGATGTTGGTGATGGTAGGGGGTGTCGGTGATGGCATGGGACGTTGGTGATGGCTGGGGGTGTTGGTGATGGTAGGGGGTGTCGGTGATGGCAGGAGACGTTGGTGATGGCTGGGGGTGTTGGTGATGGTAGGAGGTGTCGCTGATGACAGGGGACGTTTGTGATGGCTGGGGGCGTTGGTGATGGCAGGGGATGATGGTGATGGCAGGGGATGTTGGTGATGTCAGGGGATGATGGTGATGTCAGGGGACGTTGGTGATGACAGGGGACGTTTGTGATTGCTGGGGGCGTTGGTGATGGCAGGGGATGATGGTGATGGCAGGGGATGATGGTGATGTCAGGGGACGTTGGTGATGACAGGGGGTGTTGGTGATGGCAGGGGGTGTTGGTGATGGCAGGGGGTGTCGGTGATAACAGGTTTTTTTGTTGATGGCTGGGGTTGTTGTTGATGGCATGGGGTGTTGGGGATTGCAGGGGATGTTGGTGATGACAGGGGGTGTTGTAGATGGCTGGGGATGTTGGTGATGGCATGGGGTGTTGGGGATTGCAGGGGGTGTCGGTGATGACAGGGGGTGTTGTAGATGGCTGGGGATGTTGGTGATGGCATGGGGTGTTGGGGATTGCAGGGGATGTTGGTGATGGCAGTGGATGATGGTGATGGCTGGGAGTGTCGGTGATAGCTGGGGGTGTTGTTGATGGCAGTGGATGATGGTGATGGCTGGGAGTGTCGGTGATAGCTGGGGGTGTTGTTGATGGCAGTGGATGATGGTGATGGCTGGGAGTGTCGGTGATAGCTGGGGGTGTTGTTGATGGCTGGGGGTGTTGTTGACAGTTGACCAAAAAGGTAAAAAAAAACTGATCCGACTTGAATGAATGAAAGTTGATTCGTATTTGGTCATATCTAACTGAACATCACCAACAACGACTGGATAAAGAGCTGATTTATGCAAAATGTTGAACATCAAGTGAGGGAGTAAGTGCGAGAATAGAGGGTATTTTCAAATGTGGCAGGTAACCAACAGTAACCAACGTTCCCGATGCCATTCCCGATGTTGACTTGTATACTGAACCATGGATAGATATATAAGAAACCTTATTTGTTCAAACACTGTTAACATACTTTGAGACATATTAAAAAGATGAAACTTGGCAAAACTGATCATCAAGGATGAAATTAAAGTGTCAAATGTTCTTAAAGTGAAACACAACACTAGTCTCTGAGAAAAAGGCATCACAAGTCAGTATCTCGTGTGTCCGCCATGTGCATTGATGACTGCCGTGCAACGTCGATACATGGAATGGATGGGGCGTTTGATGAAGGCCATAGGCACATGGGCCCACACTCTGAGGAACGCCTGACGCAGTTCAGCTGCAGTTGTCGGCCTTGGTCGGACGTCATTCAGCCGTCTTTGAATCTCGTCCCACATGTGCTCAATGGGATTTAAATCGGGACTGAGGGCAGGCAACTGCATGGTTCTGATGCCATTCTGCTGGAGGAAGTCTCTTGTTGCTCATGCAGTGTGGGCATGGGCGTTATCACGCTGAAATTCGTGGTTGCGGCGACGTGCCAAATGAGGTATGGCGTGTGGTCTCAAGACTTGATCAATGTACCGAACTGCTGTGACACCATTGCCTCTCCCTGGACCGATGTTCTGGAAGACTACAAGGCCGACCCTCTGTGCAAGACCAATTCCACCCCACACCATGATGCTCGGACCACCCCACGAGTCTCTCTCAACAACACAAGTATTCGAATAACGTTCCCCACGGCGTCGCCAGACTCTCTCTCTCTGCCAACTGCTGTTGAGATACAGTAACGGCTCTCGTGTGAGAAGAGGACTCTTCTCAACTGCTGGTGGCGCCAATGCTGGTGCTGTGTTGCCCACTGAAGACGGTCCCAGCGATGACGTGGTGTCAGAATGGGTCCTCGGTGTGGCCTGTGACAGTGGAGGTGTCTGCTTGTCAATCGTCGACACACGGTGTCCGCACTAATGTGTCGCTTGTGTGTCCCCGTGGTCTGTCAAGCAGTTTCCGCAGGAATAACAAAGCGATCTTGAAGATGCTGTCGCACAAGCTGACGATCCTGACGTCGGATGGTGACCCTTGGTCTTCCGCTACGTGGTCGGTCATTTGTAGTTATGGTGGTCTGGTACCGTTGCTGGAGCCTGTATATTGTCCTTACGTGGACATTGGCTTTTTGTCCAGCTTGCAATCGTCCAAGGGCTTGGTGTCGCTGATTTATTGTCAGTCTTGGCATGTGGTAGCAATTCAATAACGAATGAATGTGATCCGATCTGGGTGGATTTTTATAGGGCAAGAAATGGGGGAACGCATGTGCATTTCAATTTGCACGGAACTCACGTGCATCGGGTTACCAAGGCCGTTGCCGTGATGCGTTTGGGCGATCGGTTTTATTGTAATCTGCTTTGTTTTTTTATCATCTAATTTCATTTTTCCGGACAAGGTAATGTTACATTTTATGACACTTTGACAAAAAATACCCAGATATTTAAATGACAACTTTTCACGCAATGTTACTTAGGGTGACGTTTCTTTTGCGGTTCAGTATACTATATGTTCAAGTGTTGTTTTCAGCACAAAGAGAGATCTATACTGCTTGGTTCAGCTAATGTACCAGCAAGTCCCTATCTCGAAGATAAACCACAATGAATAAAATGAAGAAGGGACTTTCTTTATTTTCACAGAAAGTTACATCTCTATATTCAAAGATACATATAGACAGGGACAAATTGTTAAAAATGTAAGTAAGTTTATCGAGAACACAGTACGTGAATTGCTGGATTTATCTCGTTGATAACGTCAATGTGAAAATTAGGGATAAGACATTTCGTCTTTTTAGGTGAACAAATGACTTACCTTTGCATGTTATTGTGATGTGAACTACTGGTGGGGTACCTGAAAACACCTGCTATCATTACTATTTGATGGTGATTAATAAACACATACTCATGTTCTAGTTGGTCTTTGCGTTTAGTAGAGTATAAATGCGGACATGTTTTTGTCGCTGTTATTGATTATCATTATCATCATATACGACTTTAAAAAAATATCTTTGCCATTAAGAGGCATCTGCTTTGGATTCTTGGAATCTGTATAAATTTGCATTAATCTTATGTTTATATTTATGATCCCTGAGAAGTATACATGATATTTTAAATCACTTGTTCATCCACTTGTCTTTGGATAGCTGTTAATTTCCTTCTCTGTAAATGGCTTTTATTTGGTGGCATTGGTAATTAATTCTACAGTACATGAACAGTAAAATTAGATAAGGCAAGCTGCCGAACTAATCTATTTTATAAATCTGTTGCGTTTAGGTACAGGTTGATCTGAGCATGTCGGCAGATTAAGCCATATTGTATAGTGGTGAGTCTCTTACTGTCTAGGCACTTATATACAATTCAACAGCATAACTTGTTTGTTTACTTTGAAAAAAAAAATAACAAAATTTTTTTCTGATGGAGATGTTTTGCGATGCGTGCTTGTCCTTCAACAAATTTGTCAGGCTACAATCTTTGCCAATGATTGACCAGTTCTTTGTGACATTTATGCGCCTTAGATAAGGATTGTTCATCTAGCTGACCCTTTTAAGCATGTTGGTCAACTTGTGCAGAAATTGTTAACAGGTGGATTGATGTTATGCATAATAATTTTTCTTTTTATATCATATCTTGGAATGATGTGACAGATGCCACACAATTTAAGGACGGTTTTCCTGACACAGGGGACATTATTTACTGTACTGCTAATGTTAACTAAAAACATTATTCCACAGCAAGGCATTCAGATGTGGATGTTTGGTAATAAGTGACTATTAAGGCAGACTAAAGTCTGTTTGATTTCTGATTTGACACTCTCTAAAGGAATATATCTGCTTGGACCACATTTAAAGCGGAAGAAAACAGTCATGAGAATATCTTAAACAAATAGCAAATAGCTAATTTCATGTTGAAAGACACATGGAAAAGATTTTTATAAATTTAGAATTTTAGAAGGAATTATACAATTTCCCAAGGTGTAAACAAAATCAGGAACACCTACCATGCCAGTATTATAATATTGCCACCTATGTTTCCCTTTGAGTCGGACAATATAGCAATGATGAAGGTTTAATGTACGTTGATCATTTTAATTAGAACCATTACTGTATTTATTTCTTGCTATGTCGAAAACACGAGTAAGTGTTAAGAATTGTATTTAAAACATATTAATTTCGAAATATTAGTTTGAGGAATTTTAAGTTGAAGATTTTATTTGCTTAACTTTTCCGACACCAGTAAAACTCGACTGGAATTATCAACATTGCATATGCCACACATTAGTTTGGGCAAATATTTGAATCGATTAATCATGAAATGCAAAACAACAAGACAAGAGTTAGGTTACTTTTACCGTCATATTTCTTAATATCATGTAGTTCAAAGGTCACAGGACAAGGCCTGGGTGTGTGTGATCATGAGGAAATACTTTTAGCACAAGCGTTGCTGATTAACATCACGTTCTCTGATGACACTTAAGTTTGTGATACAACATAGTCACCATCCTGACAATGCTAAGTACAGTTTAAATATGTGTTTTCATTATGACTATATGATACAATCAACAACATATAACAACCGATCTTTAGTACGTTGGATAGCCACAATACACGAATAACAGCTTTAAGTTATAATTTGTTCAAGTTTCACGAACATCTCTTGCCATTTAGATTAATTAAACTGTATCGTGTCTACTGAAATACCCACCAATATCCACACAATAAAGCGGTGTGGAGGAAGCATGCATTCGATTTGTGGGTGTGTAATTGAAGAACAAACCTTTGACGTTTGTGTATATTTTTTACAAGGCACACAATTCATTTTATTCACCAGTGACAACCAACTATTAATATTGGGTATATTACCGAACATATTATTTTTTTAAAACATCTCTAGATCACAAATTACAACACTACCATGACTTGCTCCTCAGAAGGGTAACTATGGAAACTATCTAATTTCTTTCTTCTTCCACTTGCTCTGTATGTGATGTCTAATGTTGAATTGTAGAAGCTGAACAACTGTCCCATTGTCAAATATCTTGGAAAAGACTCATTGCAATTGTCAGATGATATATATTCATCATCACTAAAGCATCGGTCAACATCAAATAAGTTTGGAAGATCTGTTACCAGGGTTACAGTTTCATAGATGGGACTTGTATTAATCCATCCACATTTTCTTTGTTGAATCCTCTTGAAGCTGTTGATATCAATTTTGGTTTGTGGCAAGTGACTATTTGGTCATTAGGAACTTTCGCCTTCACCTTTCACTTACAGTGCATGTAGGATTAACTTAACAGGCAGTTGGTGATACTCCTGCCAAGTCATTGGTACAAGATTTCGTTTACTATGGACCTGCCATTTGCATACAGCAGATATGCAACAGTCTTCTTTTCACTTTTGTCAACCAGAGGATGAAGTACATGTATGCTGATACATTCTTCTCAGCACTATGATCCAGATATGGTGAGATAATGTCGATATTTATTTGAGATTCTCCATAATGACATGTATATGTCTAAGTACTAATCATGTCTTATTGTTTATGAAGTGATCATAAGAATGCAAATTGAAATCCTTTGAATACCCAGACATTATCCAATGATTATGTTCATATACATTAAAACTTACATAAGTTTATAAGGATGGTATAATTAACATACGTGGTAACCAAGGATGCTATAAGAGGATATAAAAGAATATCATAAACCCAAAACTTATCCTGCAGACACTTTTGAAAATATAAAACGTTAACGCCAAACAACAACGAGTTTCGATTATCCGACACAACAGAATCCACTGGGCGTAAAAGGCAAAGTAGTGAAAAGTATATGAATGGATCACTGATGATAAGACAAGGTGTTCGCGAAAAGGACAAGCACGTCCTGCCCCATCGGAAGCACCAGGTACCCACACAACCTGCATAAAAAAGTATGTCTCTGTTGCCCGATACCGCACAGACATACCAAAACGACATGGTCAGGATTATTCCTCAGACGTGGGTAGAGATTGTATGACTGCACACTTTACAAACACGTTGTCATTGATAGTGTAAACGGAAACGCTTTGACCATGTCGTTCTTTAGTTTGCCGCCTTCAGATGCCTCGTAGCTTTCATTGGTCTCGAGTCAACAGTCAAGATGCGTACTTAAAACCCAGAATTTGTAGGTTTCCTTTTCAGCGAATTCCGGCAATAAATTCATCCATCCACTCTTCGAGGGACTAGGGTTGGTCATCAAATATCCACTTGGAGTAAACACCCTTAACGTTCTTGAGATCATGCGAAGGTCAAGCTGGGAGTCGGACGAAGTATTCGATCGTGTAAAACCATTTTTATTGCTTTCACGGAAAAAACGATCGTAATTCTTTAACTGTCGCGTCATCGAATGTGTTTCTTTCTCGCTTTTCTTTGAATTTGAAGCTGAAAGGGCGAAAAATTTACAATATCTTCAAAGTGCGATAACAAAACTTTTCTGAATGTCGAATAGTTTGAATCGTACAATCGACTATGGATTTCACAAGATTTTAGAAAGGGTTTTGTCATTTTTATTTCTGCGCTTTTACCAATATTCCAGAAATATCACGGCGGGGGACACCAGAAATGGGCTTCATACATTATATCAATGAGGGGAATCGATAGCGCTCCTTCGCCGTGACCAGAGAACGCTTTCAACACTGGGCTACTTAAACGCCATTGAACATCCAGTGGTACCAAGAGTTCCATACGAGAAACTATGGCAAACGTGTTACGAACGTTAATATTGATACTATCCACAGGTGACGAATAATTTGTTTATTTGATCCCATGTCACTGGTCATTAGTTTATTCCATCTACAAGTAACGAATGTCGTCGACAGATGACGAATGATAGGGAAAGGGTATCGTCGTGGGACGACTGACTGATCAGTAAATTCAATTTAATTCAAATGACGAATGATCGGCAAATCCCGTCAACACATGATAATTGATAGGAAAAGTGATCGACGCCAAACAACAAGTGAACAATGATTTGCGAATGCCGTCTACAGATTATAACTATGAAACGTCAACGCCTGAGAATCAGTCTCGATTATCTTCGGAAACAGGTTTCATTGGGCGTAAAAGACAAAATAGTGGTGATCATTATTTGAATGTATCAATTATAATGACACCAGGTGTTTCCTAAAAATCATCGACAGGGGACGAGTGATTAGTTGCTCGATCTACAAGAGAGGAATTATTGGTAAATGATGTCTACAGATGATTAATGATGGGTAAAAGTGATCGATTGTGGAGGACTGCTAAGTTATTTCCATCTACAGGTGAGTGAATAAGAAACATACAACTTAATGAATACCAACTACTTATGGTTTAGTACATTGAGCAATGTTTCGATGTAGAATCTTACACCGTTTCCAAGCTGGGGTGACGGTTATAAAAACGGTGTAAGAATCGACATCGAAACGTCGCTAAATGCCATTAACAGGAAGATGTTATCCATAAAGGTGAATATTTTCTTATTTACTCGCCAACTTCTAGAATGCCAATTAAATAGGTGAGGAATGTTTGTTAATTGTTATATACACTCTTCAAAAAAAGAAACGCACAGGTAGTATGTAGTTCATTGAATCTGACTACACACAAAATCCAGTTTATAAATAGGATTTATGTTATTGGAAAATGTTGGTGGCCTAATATTCGACAAACGGTGCATCAAAACGCAGCCATTGTCGATTTGCAGTGTTTTTAACGGCATTGTTTTCACACTTGTTCAAAAATGTCATGGAGAAAAACAGTAAGGCGAAATGCACGTGCACGTTATGGCATTCGTAACCCGTGGTAGTGGCTATAAAAAGGCAAGCATAAGCCAATAATCATTCAATTGTCAACATTTTTCAAGTTCGAAAAAGCCGAGACTCAGCGCTGCCGATTGGAACATCGCCATAGGCCTTATCCAAAGAGGGGATTCGCAATTTTCTGTTGCACGCCACTTCAACTTCCATCACAGCACCATTTGTCGTCTTTGTGACCGATACACACAGTTATCTTTCACTGCAGACCGTCCGAGAACCGGCCGTCCAAGAGTTACCACCCCTGCACAGGATCGCTACATTCGACTGTTCCACCTACGTGAAGGACGGATCCCTGGTTTGAGGAGGATATCGGACTACGCTGAAGACCCAGACGACCAGTCAACGTCCCTGTTTTGCAACAGATCCATCGACAGCCACGCTTGCGTTGGTGCCATACCTTACAGCCTTGGAATTTGGGAAACTGGAGACGAGTGTTGTTTAGCGATGAATCACGATTTCTTCGTCACCGGCGAGATGGAAGACAACGTGTTTATCGTGCGTCGAAATGAACGTTTTACCCCACATTGTGTACATGAATTCGGTGGCGGTAGTGTCATGGTTGTGGTTCAGGGAAATTTGACAGCAAATCGCTACATGAATCAATTTCTTCAACCTCACCTTCTTCCAATCATTGACCGCCAGAGGGAGATGTTTCAACAGGACAACGCTCCACCGCACACAGCTTGTGTCACGTGTCATAATGCCAACATCAACGTATTGCCCTGGCCGTCGAGATCTCCAGATCTTAACCCAATCGAACACGTCTGATATGAACTCGATCGACGTGTACGTCAACGTCAGAACACGCCGCAGACACCCTTCACAACAGGCCAACGCGTTGCAAGCAGAATGGCGCAGAATTCTGCAGGACAGAATTCATACACTTATCCAGTCAGTGCCGAGGAGATGCAGAGCCGTGATTGCTGCCCGGGTCGATCACACGAGATACTGAGTTCAGCGCAATCTTGTGGCTTTATGTGGCATGACAATGAACAGTTTTCAATGCCTTTGTACAACGACAACATGTGACTATCGACCTCCAAAATTATATGAATATATCGACATTATTAGGTACAATAAATTTACTAAAAATCTACCTGTGTGTTTCTATTTTTGAAGAGTGTACATATGATTAAGGACTGATTGGTAGCAGTTGCATCAAATAGTATTGACGTATTGTATAGTTACCATTATTCTTACAACCATTTGCAATTGCTTAGAAAAGACATGATGCATAGTACCTATATGAATCCCCTGCCGTTCTTTGTGACGAGTAAAAACCTAATCAAATAGCTACGGCCCTCGTATTTAACGAAGTGAATTTAATAACCCCTTGACCTACGTTTCACCCGAGGCTGATTGTAGTTCAGCGCTTAACACAGAAACGCCATCCCCTCTACGCTGTTGGCATTCACACACCGCGTTTGTTTCACTACAGCCGCTGCATATGACCTCACTGAGTGTCAATACCTGGAGCTGTGTAATGTGTTCAGGGAGTATTACATGAGCGAGACCTAAATGATGGCACACTTAACCTGTCACGCGGAGGTCGTCAAAGACCTGTGAGGATGTGACTTCTCTACATCCTTCCGCCAGTAATTACGTCTGATGGGAAATCATTATTACAGTAATTATGGTGCAGTTTTTCACAAACTCACGCACTGATTAATATATATGATGCAGGTTCGACGGTAGTGTTTACGTATATAACGTCTATGTTTGTCCCTGCACGAATGGTACATATATGTACAGTTTTCTTTGCCCGGTTGTCTAGGGCAGTTTTCCGGAGCCAGCTGTCTGATGGCAGTTTTCCGAGGCAAGTTGTTAGGGTCAGTTTTCCGGGGGAAGTTGTCTGGTGTCAGTCACCGGAGTCAGATGTTTAGAAGCGGTTTCCCGGAGCCATTATCTGGTGGCAGTTTTCTTGGGCCATGGGGCCAGTTTTCGGGGTCATTTGTCTGTGGCAGTTTTCCGGGATCAGTGTTTCGGGGGTAGCTGTCGGGGGTCAGTTGCCATAAAACCGTAAAACATTATCATTTATTGAAACTTGTAAGTGTAAATGTAGATGTTGAAAAATAAGAGAACTGTGATTCTATGCCCCAGAAAATGGTAATCGATAGTGGGCATGAGCGCCGTTTGCAAAGGGGCGTAAAACTCTACCAGAATCTACGTTAAGAAACGGCTACGTTGTAATACAT